GACCCAGTCGCGCCACCAACCAGCTGCGTGGCTTTGGGCCACGTGTGTCACCTCTCTCAGCTCCAAGATACAGTATCAGGCCTCTCTGTTATCGTGAAATAACATCTATAAAGCTCCAGGCATAGTGCCTGGCACATAGTAGGTGCTTAAAGAATTTTCTTCCTATTCTCCCTGCCAAAGGAACAGTTTTTCAGAAGTAACACTGAGAAGTGAGGGTCCTGTTACATTCAGGGTATCCTGTATTTGGGCCAGTTTAATATCAGAGTCTGGGGAAACGGCCTGTGGGCAAGGCTGGAAGGCAGAGGTGACACCAACAGAGAGCCTGCCGGCCGTGCAGACCCCGGGGGCGGGGGCAGGGTTGGCTGCAAGCCCAAGACTGCCAAGCCCCCAGGGAGGGCATGTCCCCTTCACACCAGTGTCCCGCATCCCCAGTAAGATTTTACCCCCCTGCTCATTGTTTGAGGTCCCCCATTATCCCCATTAACTCCACCCTTGTCATCACATTTACAAAGGACCTTTGGTTCCTGGGGTGGCATCAGAGAGGGCTGCTTCTCCCCTTGCGAGCCGCCTCAGCCTCAGGAAAGCCAGAGTGTGGTATGGAGGCCTGGACCATGAAGGCTGGTGTGACCTCCAGAGCCCAGAACCACCTTCAGGACGAGGGGGGCACAGTCACCATGGACATCCCCAGGATGACAGGGTGGCTCACCCACTGGCCCATGTCCCCAGGGCCTGGCGGCTAGAGTCCCAGGCTTTACGTGGGGATATTGTCCTGCTGTCTCTGCGAAGTGTCTTCCTAGTTACTTGTGTTTTCTGCCAAGCAGTTAGGAATCGCCCTTTGGCAAAGGCAGGCATATGTCTGTGTGCTTTTACATAGGACATGCCTAGCCTGTGCATACAGACCGGCTGGAAATTTTGCATATTAGTAAGTTTTATGGGAACTGAAAAGGGATGGTAACGCCCAGCCTTTTTCCTGAGGTTTTTTTTTGTTGGGGCAGGGCATCACAGAGGGTTGGAGGAGACAGCGAGGTGAGCCCCCTGCGCCCGCCCAGTGCCCCAGCACTGATCGCGGAGAGTGAGTGGGCTGCCGCTGCTCTCGGCTTCAGGTGTAACTTCTCTGGACTGAATTCTTTGGAAAGGGCTTTGTCTCTGAGACCTTTGTATGCGTAATGACCCAGGAGGTGTTCAGTTCCCAGGAGGCCCTCGGTGCAACCCCACCTACCCCATCCCAGTGGTCAGGACCTGCTTGCTGAGCCTGGAGCCTGGGCTGGAAGAGAAGAGGCCTGGTCTCCCCGCAGAGCTCACTGGAGAGGGCTGTTAAATGCAAAGAACTGATCCTCAGCTGGAAGCAGCTAGGAGGCGGTCAGAGCCGGTTCTTCCGCCAGTCAGCAGGGTGCCACCACCCTGTGCCACCACGTGCTGAGCCCACCGCACGCCCCAGGTGGAGGGGCATCCCACACGAGGGTCACCCCCGAGAGCTGGCCCCCCCGGGAAGGTCAGGGTGTTCTCTCCAGGTCTCGGTTCTTTCCGTGTGCAGGGGAGGGACATCTGGAGTGTGAGGGGTACGCAGCCCAGTCACAGCACAGCTGCAGGTCATTGCTGCCCTTAGCCGTGTCCTGGGCCCAGAGCCACACGGTGGCCCCACCACTGGTCTGGTCTTGGATATCTCCCATGCCAGCAGCCTGTGTACAGGGGTCTGTGGCCGCTGGACCGCCCCCTGCGATGCCACCACTGGCTGCAGGAGCAGTGGCGGTGCCCAGCACTCAGCGTCTGTTCTGTTTTCCAGGTGAGACTGTGGAGATGAGAAGGTGGTGAACACTCGTGAGGGAATGGAAATCGTCCTAGTGCGCAGCCCCGCCCCACCCCGCCTGCCCCGATGTGCCTGCCCATGCCAGCACTTCCTTCCTAAGTTCTTACATCACATGCAAACCGGTGACACCACGGGAAAGAAAGACCCAAGAAGTTGGAATGGCTGTTTCCATGGACACAATCTCCATAGTGACAATGTGGGGGGAGGGGGGTGGGGTGGGGTGCTGGGAAAGGGTGGGGGGAATTAAAAGGGAAGGATAAAATATATATATATAAATCTATTTTTAGTCTGGAAAGACTTTGTTTAAATGAAAGGTGCGCTATCCCTTTTGATTCTATTTTAAAATTATCTAGTTAAAGAGCTCCAAATTTGTTCCAATAACAGTGAAATTTAAATGTGAAATTGAACTGAACAAACTCATCTCATAAAGGACGGGGGTGTGGCTTTGATCGGCAGCCTGTCTCTCACCAGTTCAGAGAACTCTAGACCCAGGACTGAAAGCAGACAAACCACACCAAAACCATCCTTTTGTCATTAATGTGTCTCAAAGTGGGAAGCTTTTGGGGGGAGGGAAGTGGGGACGGACGGTCCATGTTTTCAAGAGTGGGAGAATGATGTTTAAACACAAAAATAAATTTTTTTCATTTCCAGAAACACTATTTATTTATTATTTTAAAAGTTTTTATCTTTTTGTGTGTGGGGGGGTGAATTGGCAGATGCCCTGAGGTCACAGCTGTGTCCTGGGTCCCTGTGGCCAGTGAGAACTCGGAGTGCCCCACTGAGTGTGCATGGCAGGCAGGGTCAGGTGGCCCGCCTCCGGGCACATTCCAGGCAGCTGTGCCCTGACCCCCGGGATGGACAGGACAGGGAATCTAAGCTTAGGAATTGACACAGGGGAGGGACTGTCAAGTGTGTCGGTGTGGGGTAAGCTGACCAGGAACACCCAATTAACCCTTTTTTCTTTTTTTTGCTTTCGTTTTTATAAAGGAAAAGGGGGCCTGTCAGTTGAGCAGCCCCATGCTACATGATTCTTTATGTTGTATTGTTTTGTTTTGTTTTGTTTTGTAAATTGTATAATTTTTAAATATCTGAGTTTTAAAAAAAGAAGAAAAAGTACAAAAAAAATTCTTGTTAAGGCCTTAAGAAGGGGTTAGTGCATCTTTCAGGGGTCACTCTGCGGTGGGGATAAAATAGCTGTTTCACAAACAGTTTTATTTAAAAAACAAACAAAAAAATCAAAAAAATAATAAACTTCATTTTAACCTTGTTTCCTTTTTGTTTAATATAAAGCAAATGCGTCTCTTCCTCCTCCCATTCCAGCCCTCCCCAACCCCACCCCACCCCCCCCAGCTGGCTTTGGTTCTGCAGCAGAAACAAAATCCAAAAGCGTCTCTTCCCTGCTGATCGGCCTGGGGGACCTCAGCCAGTGTTGGGGGACGGTCAGATTTACTTAGGTTGATATGAGAATGTATTTCCAATCAGCATTAATTTTAAAGGTTATTAAAAAATCATGCAATGTTAATGGACTTTTTGAGAGAACAGAAATACTGGAAGGAATGTTGTGAAGTAGAAATAAGCAATTATAAATGAGTTCTTGTGTGCTCATCAATTTGGGGCTGCAGAAATGGCAGATTAATTTCGTTTTAATGGCTACATCAAGCAGTGTGGTCCATTTCTCATTTTGCTCCGCCAGGATGGAGGTGTGGGTGGGTGTGCCTGTGGGCATGGCACCCGCATAGCAATGACGGCTTTGTGAGCTACTTGGCTTCCTGTCTGGTCTTGGCCTGGCAGTAACACAGTTCAAATGAAATTGATAAATTTCAGGTGTCAAGGGCTAAACCACAAAACCTGAAAGATACGCATCTGGAGGAAAATATTTTCCTGACAGCAAATGATTCTTTGTCATTTTGCCTTTTATTCTGTCCCCTTTTGACTTGCTGCTGATGCTTGAGCGAGGCACTTGTGATTGTCCTAGTTCTTTCCTCAAACTGGCTTCCAAAATGACTTAACTGGGGAACCACCATGCCCCACACCTCCCTCCAGACCCAGCTTTCTGGCTTCTGCTGGAAGCTTCAGCTTCTCGGGTGCGTCCCACCACGTTTGAGTTGTGTGCATTTATTTTAATGGATTTAATTTTTTAGAGCAGCTCTCGACTCACAGCAGTATTGAGCAGAAGGTACAGCAAGTTCCATACACCCCGACTCCCCGCACACAGCCACCCCTACTATCAGCGTCCCCCCGCCACGTACATTTGTGAGTCTGACACATCATTGTCACCCAAATTCCATCGTTCCCATTAGTGTTCACTTTGTGTTGTACATTCTGTGGGTTTAGACAAATGTATGGCATGTATCCGTCATTATCGTGTCATACAGAAAAGTGTCACTGCCTTAAAAATGCCCTGAGCTCTGCCTGTTCACCCCTCCCTCACCTCCAACCCGTGAAAACCACTGACCTTTTTACGGTCTCCATAATTTTGCCTTTTCTAGAAGGTCAGATAGTTGGAATCACACAGTATGTAGCCTTCCAGACTGGCTTCCTTCACTTGGTAACATGCGTTTACGGTTCCTCCATGTCTTCATGGCTTGAGAGCTCATTTCTTTTTAGCACTGAATGATAGTCCATTTCTGGATGTACCACCGTTTATCCATCACCTACTGAAGGACATCTGCTTGCTTCCAAGTTTTGCCAATTATGAATAAAGCCGCTATAAACACCTGTGTTTTTGTGTGGACATAAGTTTCCACTCCTTTGGCTCAGTACCAAGGAATGGGATTGCCGGATCCTGTGGTAAGAGTGTTTTGTAAGGAACTGCCAAACGGCCTTCCAAAGTGGCTGCCGGGCTTTGCATTCCCACCAGCAGCGCATGAGAGTTCCTGTTGCTCCCCGTCATCGCCAGCAGTTGATGTCAGTATTCTGAATTTTGGATGTTTCAAATATGTGTATTTGTGGTGATGTATTGTTTACAATAATTTTTAAATTGTGGTTTAAAAAACAAAATTCACCATCTTAACCAGTATGTGTACAGCTCAGGAGAGCTAATGTAGTCACACTGTTGTGCAACGGACCTCCAGAATTTTTCATCTTGCCAAGCTGAAGCCCTGTACGCATAAAACAGCCCGGAGGCGGGCCCAGCCCAGCTACCCGCTCCCGCCCAGTTGCTCCCGGGCGGGGCCGCCTGCGCCCTCGGGCGGCCGCCTGCAGAAGTGCAGGCAGCCGCCCTGCGGGGACCTCAACTCGCTGTGGGCCGGTCAGCACCTCGAGTCAGGTGAGTAGGGCATGCCCCGGCGCTACCACAAGCTGGGCACAGGCTCCACCCTTTCTGTCCGCAGAAGGAACGGGTACCGGGAGGTTTGTGCCGCGGGAGCTGCCATGCCACGGGGGGAGGGGCAAGGCAAGCAAAATGCCACCAACTTTCCCCGCGGACTCGCTGGGTCTTGCTGCGGCTCCCTACCTGCTTTCTAGAGCTCTCACCAAGGGGTTTGCCCCGCAATGCGTTGGGAGCCACAGGGCCGGCTCTTCCTGCCTGGGAGCCACAGGGCCGGCTCTTCCTGCCTGGGGGACACAGGGCCGGGCGCTTTCTGCTCCGCCATCTTGCTGACGTCACCCTGAACTCAATCTCAGGTCGTAGAGGACCCCTGTGCAGGTGACCGACCACCTGTGACATGCGTGGTCGGCGGAGGGAGGTGTGAGCGCTTAAACCTCTTGCCCCAGCAGCTTCATCAGAGCAGAAGCCCAGGGAGAATGGGCTGAGTGTTTCTAAAATAATAAATCTCAGTCACGGGCTGGCCCTTACAGTTTATGCCGGAACAGTGTTGAACAGTAGTAGCTCAGCGAGTTTTGAGATGGGCCCCTAATGCTGCTCTGTGACCTTGACCTCCTGCGGTGACCCCCGAGACTCCGTGCCTTGGGGACCATAAAGCCACCTGCTGTATAAGGCTGTGGAAAGGACACTTCGAGTGAACAACAGTACCTGGCAAGTGAGCCTGATCAATGAAAGCTGCAGTTGTGCAATGATGACAGAGGCCGTAGGCCTCATGACTGCAGGTTTTCCTCATGGCTGCCGGCCCTGGACAAATGGTCCCTGAATGACAGGGATGTCTGTCATTGCCCTTCATACCCCCATTAGGGTGACTGCTTGGGGAGGGCATGACATCCAAAACAAAGGGTAGATAAAGGCAATTTATTGAGGGCCACTGTGTGACACTTGGACCATCCTACCTGCCCTGCTAACACCACCTGGCTCTCTGACCGTCTGTAGAAAGTTGCTTTCAGGAACATTCAACTGAAGCCACAAGAGAGACCCACAGGCTGGGTCCGTGAAGTCCCCGGGTGCCTGTGGTCTTTCCCTCCCGGTCTGTTGAGTGACCTCAAAACTGGTCTCCCTGCCTCCTGGAGGCCCAGGGACCCCGGTTCCCCACAACCCACCCCTCAGCCAGACTTATAGCCCCAGTCTCAAGCTGCCTCTCTTCCACTGCCCCTCACCCCTCCTGCATAGGACTTTGTAGTCATGCTTTGGTCCTGCTGCCAGGTCACCTTGGCCTGCAGGGAGTGCCAAGCCAGCCAAAGTCCTCCATGAAGTTTTCCCAGAAAGTCCTGCTCCAGCCTGGGCAATGTCCCCTCAAAGCAGTCCCAGCACCACTGGCCTGGCATGTTGGCTCTCTGATTCTTCACGAGCACCTGGGAGCAGGGACCAACCCCCCCCCTCATCCTCCCACTGTGCTGCGAGTGCCCAACCCAGCACCCAGCACCTGGGGCGTCCAGCATGGCTGAACAGAATCCAAGCCCTGGTCCCCAGCAAGCCACACCCTCTGGGCCTGGGCCTGGGCCTGGGCCTGGGCCTGGGCCTGGCAGGAGAGTGGGATGTGGAAATTTGGGAAGGGGAGGGGGAGCATTTGCACACCAAGTGCGATTTGCAGACGCTGAAAGCCAATACCCAGAGGATGTCCTCTTCCTGTTGGGGAATGAGGAAGAGAACTGGGCGAATATGGGGCCCTGCTTCAGCGGAGGGTGAGCACCTCCAAGACCCGGGACTACTCCAGCTGTTTCCAGAATGAGAGCTTGCCTCACATACCCCTGGGATGGGTGAAGGGCCCCCTCCCCGGCAACCCTACCCAGGAAATGCCCCTTCACCATCCGCTGGGCTCCTGTGCCTTCGCATTTGATTGGGCCTCAGCCTCAGACTTCTCATCAGCCTCACTGATTTAAAAACTCAAATCGCACCCCTTTTATTGTTGAAGAAGTAGGGTGCTGAGGCCAGCAGGCTGTGGCATTATGTAGTCACCCCTTTACTTGGAGGGGACGAGAAGCTGTGGGCCTGGTAGCACAATCCCAGCCCGGCAGTGGCACGCTCTGGCATGGTGTGATCCTGAGGTTTGCATCTTTCCTTGAAGGAACGGAGAGTCAGAGTCGGAAGGGGTGGAGCTGGAGCCAGGGAGACCTGGCCCGGGTAGAGGGAGAGGCCCGAGAATCCGTTCCTGTGGTCCTCAGCAGGCCTGTGAGGGTGTCAGGAAATGACAACATCCCCAAGAAAGAGTTTGAGTAGCTGATGTTTAAGGACAAATGCTAATGAGGAGAAGGAAACAGGCCCACTCCTCTGGGGACAGTCACAGCCTATGCTAAGCCACCCTAGTCCCTTGAGCTTAGTGGCAGCTCAGTCAACAAGGAAAAGTGCCCATCCCACATTTCTCTGAGTCAGGAAAGTGGACATAGACATGAAGGAGATTCATCACCTGGGTGGTCACAAGAGCTGAGGGTCAAGGACCAATTTGTAAAAGGAAAGGAAAGGGTCCTCGGGCCATCCAACGGGCTTGTCACGGTGACTAGGGAGCTCTGAAAACAACTCTGCTGTCTCCCCACCCCCAGATTCAAACTTGCCACGGCCACAACGAGGCCGAAACCCAGGACGCTGGGCCAGCAGCCAGCCAGGTAAGGGTCCTCAGCATCACTGCCAGCAGCCTGGAGGCACGGCTGTGGGTCGGGCCCACTGAGAACTAGACTTGGTGCTGGGTGCGCACGTGCGTGTGTGCGTGCATGTGTTGTGTGGGTGTGTAAGTGTGTGTATGTGAATGTGTGTCAGTATGTGAGCACGTGGGTCATGTCTGAATGTGTGAGTAGTTTGTTGAGTGTACTAGTGTGAAGTGAGGGGACACCCAGAACTCATCGCGGCTACCCCGTAATCCCTCTGATCACTGTGACCTCCCTATAATGCCGGGCAAGGGCCAGTAACAAACCTGGGGGGTGAAAGCCACTCAGGAGGCAGGTGACATATGGGAAGGCAGGGACATGTTCCAAGGACAAGACTGTGACCACACTGAATGTGAGCCAATGTGAGTGGGCGGCAGGATCAAGTCTAAAGACCCCTGGTTCTTCCTCCGAGCCTGTACAGAGCTGGGGAGTCAGGTGGGGGGCGGACTTCTTGTCTCCACACTCCTACCCTAGGAAAGCACCTGGAGGGGACAGGAATGACAGTGGCCACCCCTGCACCTACCTTCCCTGGTCCCTTCCTGTGCCCTCTGGCAGCACAGGCACCCTGACTGATTGGCTCCGGGCAGAGGGCAAAGGCCAGTCTCAACTCCCTTTATAAAGAGGGCCCAAGCTGGTCGAGCTCACAGGGTGATGAGGGCGCCTGCCTGGCCTGGTCCTAGGTGCCTGGTGTGGTGAGAGGTGCCAGTGTGCCCAGAGGAGCCATGGGCCTGCTGACTTGGGATGCTCTGGGGTCCCTGGCCGTGGCCATAGCCATCTTCTTGCTCCTGGTGGACCTGATGCACCGACGCACACGCTGGGCCGCACGCTACCCACCGGGCCCCATGCCCATGCCTGGGCTGGGCAACCTGCTGCAGGTGGACTTCCACGACTTGCTTTGCAGTGTTACCCAGGTGAGGAAGGTTGTGGGATGGGGACCCCACCTGGCGGCAGACAGCGGTTGGGAGGCGAAGTCACAAGCTGGACCAGGAGCAGAGCCAAGAAGAGGCAGGTGTGACAGTGCATTTGTGCCTGGCCTGAAGAACGGTTGGGGTTTTCCAAAGGTCAGAGAGGGGAAAGGCCTGGAGAGGGGGTGGGACTTGGCAGCGTGTTTGGGATCCAGCTGCATAGCGCTGAAACTGAGCTGCGGTCCTTTCTGCTTATATCAGGAGGAAAGGTCTTGACAATGGGGGAAAGGAATCTGGTCATGAGCTCCATTTAAATCAGGAAAGGGAGGTTGAGAGAGGTAGAGTGACTGGGTTCAAATTTTTTGCCTCTGTGGGTCCTCGGGCCTCACTACTCACCTCTGTGAACCTCAGTTTCTTCACCTGTGAAATGGGATGCTCACTTGGCCTACTGACAATTTTGGTGAGTTTTGCAAAGTCATAGCTGAGTGGTCTGATCCAATGTGAGGTCCTAGACCATAGATGATGTCACCCAGAGGGTCACAAGGCTAGATAAAGCACTTGCACCCATTAGCTGCTGATGGCCCAGGCGTCCCTCATCGATAGGGCCATGAGTCTGGGGCTGGGCTTAACCAACACCCCCGACCCTCCACCTGCAGCTGCGGTCCCGCTTCGGGGACGTGTTCAGCCTGCAGCTGGCCTGGACACCCCTGGTCGTGATCAATGGGCTGGAGGCCGTGCGCGAGGCGCTGGTGTACCGCAGCGAGGACACCGCCGACCGCCCACCTATGCCCATCTACAAGCACCTGGGTGTGGGGCCGCACTCGGAAGGCAAGCAGAGGGGGGTGCCGACCGCGGCCCGGCGGGGACAGGGTCGTGCACGTGCGTTGCAGGGAGGAGTCAGCGAATTTGAAGGAGCCGCAGGTGGAGGAGGGAGCTTGGGCCAAGGGTGGGGAAGAAGAATGTGGGTGGAGTCTTACCGAGAGCGGGCGGGCCAGTGCCATAGCGAGCAGGAACGAGATGTCAGGATGGGCGAGAATGAGGAGGACGAAGTCAGTGTGGGCGGGGCAGGGGGCGGGCAGGACCGTTCCCAAATGGAGGTGAGGGGCAGGGAGGGCAGAGCAGTAAGTGGGGCCAAGACCTGCCCTCAGCAGGCTGTGAACTGGCGAGCAGTGTGGGCGGACAGAGTAGGGCCTGGCCCCAGCTGGAAGGGGGTGTCAAAATGGGCAGGATTAGGTGAGGTGGAGGACGAGTTAGTGTGACCGAAAAGGATGAGACTGTATGAGCAGGGGCGGGGCGGAACTTATACGGAAATGGGCGGGACTTGCGAGCAGGGGGGCGGGGCCTGGACCCGTCTCGGATGGCAGAGGACTGGAGAGCTCGCGAGTAACGTGGGAGGGCAGGGGCGGGGCCAGGGCACACCCGAGTCACGCCCACTTTTCCGCCCCCAGGGGTGATCCTCGCGCGCTACGGCAAAGAGTGGCGCGAGCAGCGGCGCTTCTCCGTGTCCACCCTGCGCAACTTCGGCCTGGGTAAGAAGTCACTGGAGCAGTGGGTGGCTGAAGAGGCCACCTGCCTCTGTGCCGCCTTTGCTGACCAGGCCGGTGAGTTGCTGAGGGGCAGGAGACTGGAATGGAGAGGGTGGGAAAAGGAGATGGAGGCGACCCCCTGATCTGCACCGTCCCCTCCCAGGAAGCCCCTTTAGCCCGAACGCCCTCCTGAATAAAGCCGTGAGCAACGTGATCGCCTCCCTAATCTATGGGCGCCGCTTCAAGTACAAGGACCCGCTCCTCCTCAAGCTATTGGACCTAATGGAGGATGCACTGAAGGAGGAGTCAGGACTCAAGAACCAGGTGGGGGAGGGAGGTGACAAGGAGCCCTGCTGGGCGAGCTCCTTGAGGGCAGGCC